CACTTTATCCAGCCCCAAGCAAAACAACTAAGCTCTAATCGTGACCTTTCATTTGAAAACCAATTCCATCCCAATCGGATTCCGCTTCCCTTTCCACGCCATCCCCTTCCACTTGACCAAACAAATCCACTTCCGCTTCCGCGGAACCGCTTCCGCGGAACCGCTTCCGCGGAACCGCTTCTGCACGACGATCAGGTGGAATCCGGTCCAGACCAAGCAAGACCCCACGGACGTTCTGGTGGTTGGCTGTTGGGATCAGACCCTCTCCTTCTACAAGGCGACACCGACGGACAGTCGGACGTGGCCGGGCGGGTCCGCGGACCGACCAGACAAAATCCTGGTGTGGCTGGGGGCAGCGGGTGGGGAGCGGAGAGCTTCATGTAGACTCTGGATTAAGAGAGCAAAATACAGCCACCCTTTTAATTGGATTCAATTGTTATTTTTTTACTAGAATCAAGAGTCTACATGGGTGCGAAGGAGAGGGATTTCTTCGCGCGAAACGCGGGTGAAACACTTGAAGGAACACCTCACAGGTCATCGCTGTGTGTCCGAGTCGTGGCCGTGGCATGGGTCCCCACCAGGTGTCGGTCGAGCGTTCGGCGGCTTTCCCCCGGATCGGATTTGGCACTACGAAACCAGATCCAGGGTCTCATACACATCTCATGTAACCCTTACCATGTCTCATCATGTCTCATCGAGTTCTATTTTGCCTTGCTGCCCGAGCTGCTCGACAGGTCTCGGGGCAAGAATACGGTCGTGAGCCCGGACGCTCGGATCTGGCGCTCAGCACTCTTCCCTGGCCTTGACTGGCTCAGCAGGTCGACCGCCACCTGGACCTGGTGAGCGAAGAACTTCAACTGCCACGTCGACCCTCATCCGGACCACTGATCCGGACCCTGATCCGTTTCGGTACCAAGGGACCCTGCACTGAACCGCAAAGGGGGCAGTGGATCCGAAAACATGGCTGTAGACCAAATCAGGTGCGGCTTGGAGGTTTTCAGCGGATCATTGGCCAAGGCGACATGTCTTCCCCAACAGATGTCAGGCTCATGTTAGGTCCATTTCGATCTGGTCTCCAAACCCGTCAGGACGTCCTTCAGATGGCCTTTGAAACCCTTCGAACCTTCCAAGTTTGAGGCTTTGGAATGCCCGGGCGCTCGCTTTGGGTCGATGGCGTCGATGCCGAGGCATCGCTTCGAACTGAGGCATCGCTTGGAGTTCGATGTGTGTAGCATCGACTTCTTCTCCAGCCGCTTGGAGCCAGTGAACAGGGTCCAGCCGGAGTTCAGCCGGACCAGCGTGGGATGGTGGTTCTCTCCAAGCCAAACGGGCCTCTTCTTTTTCTGGGACACATAGATGGTGATGTGGATGGCCCCTGGATGGCAGACCACTCTTCTAGACTTTGTGTCCTCAGACTTCTATGGTTTCAGGGAGCGTGGGCGACTGGCCCTTGGAGCCCAGAGGTGAGGTTCGGTCTGACGGGCGGCGAACCTAGGCGGGGACTACTTTGTCCTGGGCGGCAGCGGCAAGAAGGCGAGCCCTAGCAGTCCAGGAAACGACCTTTGGGCACCTCCCACTGTGAACTTCCTGGACACGGATCACCAGTGATCACCTATAGTTAGACCGTTTGGTCCAAAAAGGGTCCTTCCTGGCCTTCCCAGGTCCAAGCATGCACTGGGAAACGAGCTTCCATGTGGACCACCTCCCCAAACAACTCCACCGGTGCGCGAGACGGTCACTCCCCTTGCAGGTACAGCTCTGGAGCCGCGACGGGATCTACCTAGGCCCGCCCTGTTCGGCCTCTGCGCGCGTGGGGGGACGAGGACGGAGCGGAGGACGGCGCGGGGGTGGAGCTTGGAACATGGGTGGAGGGGAACATCTAAGGACGAAGACCCTCAGCCAGCGGTGTATTTTTTTGAAGGTGAACATCATGGTGACCTGGTTCCCTTGGACCAATTCCGTGTGGATGCTGGTTGCACCTGCGAGGTTACAAATCGGTGTCGAACGAGCGACTATGCAGCAGCTGACCGGTCATGTGGAGGTTCTGTTCGAGTGAATCGTGCCGGTGGATGTTTTTGAGGCTCCAAATTCAGCCACGTGGACCGAAGAAGAAGAGTCCACCTGGTGGCATTTCTCGCAGAGACAACATGAGTTTTCATGTCGTCACGGGCGCCACCAGACTGGAGCCATCTGGAAAACAGATCCAAACTAGCTAAGTTGGGATTGTGCGTTGCTTTAGTTTGCAATTTGGGAGGTACACGATCTGAGATACTGGGTTTCGAGGAATGCGGGGCGTAGTACTGCAGTGCCGCTGGAGTATGGCTAGTCTCCCAAAATTGCCAGGAATACATTGACAGGCTTTGAGAAAAGGGGGCCAGATGTTCAGTCATGTTCAGTCCGACTCTTGGGAAGCCCAAAGCGCAGCCCAAAGCTTGGTGGCTGTCTCCAGATGTGATGCTAGGTCAATGGAGGGACGAGGGGCATCGCTTTGTTCAATATCAAGACTGTGCAAAAAACACTCACAAAGACACTCAAAGACACTCAAACACACTCAAACTGTGCAATTGAAGACACTCAAAGACAGTTTTCTTCACCAATGCTGGAGCTTGTGTACGTACGGCCCCTGCGAAAAGAACAGGTGATAAACAGATCTGAAAAGTGAATCCCCCAGAAGCCGGACACCGTCGACACCGGAAACCAAGGACCTGATTCAACGTGTTGCCCAGATAGATGGAGACTTGCAGCTCCTTACGGACCTCCGAAAAAGGGACCTTCGGGGACCGGCGGGTTCCCCCTTGCGAAAGCAGAGGCCAAACGCCTGGCCGCCTGGCCGCCTGGCCACGCCAGTCGTCTCGTCCTCCTGTGTGCCCCTGCAGGTGACCTGGGCGAGCGCGAAGACTGGATCTGGCGGGAGGGATCGGCAGCGGTCGGTGGAGTCGGTGCGAGAGCGGTGGGAGCGAGATCTTGGGGGTTCGGGCGAGATCGGCAGCGGTGGACGGGGACGGTGGACGTGGAGACCCATTGTTTGTTCAATTCTTAGAAGGAGAAGAGAAAGAGGTGCAGCAACTTGAGTGGTGCACCTGTAAATTTTTCAATAGACTGGACTCTACCCCATTTTGAAGAGGTGGTGAACATGCAAATGGGGAGGGGTTTACGAATCAAGGGTCTATGTTATAGAGGCACCACCTATGACCTGATGGGGGCACCGCCTATGGGCAGCTGATGGCTTCTGAAGGGCTTCGGAACTTTGAAGGAATCTATAGCTACTCAGGAGTACTCATGACTCATCAATATCAGAAGGAAACAGGGGTTTCCTGCAGATGTTCCCTTTCTACCAACTCATTTTTCATCCAGCGCTATATGTTTTTCGCATTCTGATGTTGTGTCAGATGTGGACAGGGACGGGATTTGTTCCACTTGGACTGTGAAAGCGGAAGGTCCCAGCAGGAGCTTTGAGGAACATGACGGTGACTTGACGGATGCACGACAGGATGGTGTGGCCGGAGACATGGCCAGGATGGGGAAGAAACACAAGAGAACTATGCCAATTGACATCGCCAGACCTGCTCTGACTCTTCATCCGGAGCAAGCCCTCCATGCACCAAAAACACATGACAAGGATCTACCCTGCACCGCATGCACCGATGGCCTTGGCCACGAAAGCCACTCCACTCGTGGGGCACCTCGAGATGCGCGTACTCCGGACCCCGGTACCTCCGTGAAGTGCTTCGGCGTTGGGCGGGGGTCCTGGATCTGGACAATGGGCAACTGTTCCAACCCACCTGGGGGCGCACGGAAAGCACACCTCCCAAAACGACCGACCCGGCTGTCCGCCCCGCGGACGCCGTGGAGGTCCGTGGCGGTGCGACCGAGGCTCGCTGGTCTTGGGGCTGTTTCCAGGAGGATGAAAAGGAGGGTGGTTCGTTCAGAACATTCACCAACGAACTTCACCATCTTTCGGTGAAAGAACTGTCGGGTTTCGGTCGGCTTTGCGAAACGAACTGGATTGGGCGTCGACGGGACGACGTTTCCGGACACCGTCGGGTGCCCGGGGCGCCCCAATACACCGGCGTGGGTTTAATAAGTTTATATAATGTATATATACCTAGAACCCATTTGACCTCTGTTTTGATAGGAAGCTTGGCCATCTTTTGGGTGGTTGGTGGTCCAAAATAGAGGTCACTCAGGTTCTAGGTATATATAGCTGGTCCATGCTAGTCCTGATCTCATCTCACAAAAGCTTGTTGGTCAGAGGCATGCGGGTGTGTATTTTAATAGGGAGACACCCAACCAATGGATTTTGGTCTATTTATCTTCTTCCAGGCATTCCTTTGGGAGGTCTCCGTATTTTAATACACAACCATGTACTTATATAACCACAATACAAAAAGTCATTAACCACGACTTCAATTTAATGTCCCTCTTTTGGCGCAGTTAAGTCCGAGTCTCTGTTGGCCAATCTTTGCAGAATGGAGGTGACCTTCATCGCTCTGCAGCCATGGTCGGCCATCCTTTGGGAATCTTGGGACGCTCCACTTTTGCTTTCCACCCTTGCAAGAAGTGTTTGTTGAGGGTGGCCCATTGTGGAAGTGTTTGTCAGAACGGATGGCCTTTTTACCCTTTCGTCGAGAGCACCCATCCCTTGGCGCCACCATTGGGGATGGTTTTGGCGTCTTCACCCCAAGTGGCCGTGTCGCATGGCACGATCGGGCCCGGTTCAAGCCCGGCGCTTGCGCCGTTGGCGATTGAAGATCGTTGCCAAGAAAAGAAGCAAGAGACCAATGAGAGGCAAAGAGTTTCGCGTTTCGCAATGCGTGCACCAAATAGATGCAGAGAAGAACATTCTCAGTATTTGTCACTCCCAGGTGAACTCGCAGCACACTAGACCTGAGAACGGACGCGTTTTCAGCGGATGTTCACACAGCCCCCCCGTGTCATCTGCTCCCCCAAAACGCGAAAAAAACACCGCTTTCATTCGCCAAGAGAACTCCCAGTGCCACGCCGCGCCGTCGACACCGGTGCCCACCGAGTCCTCGTCCTTCTGAGACCCATGGCGCGCTGAGGGTCGACCGAGCTCCGCGAACCGCGAGCGGCCCCGATCAGATTCGAAGCGCTGTGCTGGCTGAGTCGGTCGTTGCCCATTGCGAAGCGATGCGACCAGTGAGGAGAGAGAAGATCGGTGGTGGAGGTGGATGGGGGAGCAAAAGGGACGGATCAAAAGGGATGAGAATTGAAGATACAGTATGGCACGGCGTTTTCTTAATGGAGTGCCTTTGTAGATGCAGTAGATGGCACACTTCCCCAGACAGATTGATCAAGGAGATCGAATTCCAGATACTTGTTGCATGTGAACCCTGGCAGCGGAGAAACAAAGCAAAGTTGTTGCCATGTACTTTGAACCAACGTTTTTTTTGCAAAAAGGAATGCTGAGTGTGAAGCCCATGTTTGTTGGAGCTGTCATGTGCATCGAAAAGGTGTGCTAGCTCGAAGGGGCAGGGCTGCATCACCACCGGAGGAGCTTTGACGGGAGATATGACATCGATCTGACATGATATGAGTTCTACACTGGCTTCAGAGTAAATGGCACCATCCCCAATGTCGGTGGCTTACTGTATATGGACCCCCATTTGTTTAAGACATGGAACGGGATGCCAGTGCCATGCCACTCACCTCTGAAACCACTGTATGACTGGCCAAGTCTTTTGGAAAACGCCTCGTGAGGCCAGGAACCTGCAAGCGCTACAGTCCATTCAGCGTTCTTGGGGGCCCAAACACCTTCGGCGCGTCGTCCATTCAGGTGCGAATGGGGGGCCTTGGAAGGTGTCCTTCCGTGGCTCTGGGGCCCTTCCGGCCCGCCGGACAAACGAGAGGGCCGCCGAACCGGCGCGCCGCGCACGGAGGCCCCGAACGTCCCAGTAGAAGCTGCGCCGCCGAACATCCCCGCGCCGGGTGTTCCGCGCAGGAGCGATGCTTCAGTGGAGCTGCTTCCAGCGATCATGCCCACACACCACCTGCGGACCCTTGGTGGAGCTGCGACGGGCGGTTTTTGGGGGGAGGGTGGAGGGCTCCCGCCCTCTGATGCGTTTCTTTTGGGCGTTTGGGCCTGTGACGGTTCTGAGAAAGATGGGCAGTTTCCTAGTTGTTTGCTACACTTCAACCCACAACTCGCTCATGCCCGGAAACATCGCAAAAAGAATCAAACAGGTAAGAACTCCCAAACTATTCAACACGCAATTTGCTTCGAGTTCGTTTTGGGGTCTCCACTTGGTCCAACTCCTGTTCCATGTCCCAACATCCCAAGACATCGAACCCAGATGAGGTCGACCAAGACGTCTTCGCCCGCGCGTGGGGGGTGGAGGGTGCCACAGCTGCCCTTTCTGCAGAAGGAGGCCCCCCTGACATCAAATGATGTCCGACTGGGACCAGAGACGATGGGACCTGGGGACCGACGGAAGGGTGAGTTGATTGGGGACCTGCGAAGTGGAGGCCATCAGCAGATCGAATCGGAAAGCTGATTCAGACTCTACCTTAAATGGAACATTTCATCAGTTGTTCTATCAGCATCCATGATTGGCATGAAGAACTGCCCAAGCCTGGCGTGTTTTCTCCGGTCTCTTTGCACCGCTTGCGCATGGAATCCCAGCTATGTGTGGCCCTCGCAGGGCCGATGCAAGTCCCGCGCCAGGTGCCAGGCTTTGAGAAGCAGCATGTGATCTACCTGCAGGAGGGGGGGTGAACAGCATGGAGTTGCTGTCCCTGTTTTGCTTATTCTCGTGCATGATCCTTGGGCCAAAATGACCGGCTTGTTCGTTCGCATGGACTCACAGGGCTTCACGAAGCGTCCCATGAATCATGACCTGTAACAGTCGGGTCATCCACTGTTGCTGGCGATAGGATATACCATGATATACCGTATACCCAAGCTATGAGCGTTAAGACTTTGCGAAGCAATACTGTATGTGGTGTTTACACATTGCTGATCTACCTGGAGTTCAAAAAGACCAAGACCTTCACCATCCTCCACCCTTTGGTTCGCACTTTCTCCCTTTCTTTTCGAGATATTTTTCTTTGATTCGGCCATTGCTATCAGGTTGAAGGTTGGAGGCCATCGCTCTGAGGTTGGAGGCCATCGCTACTAGGTTGGAGGCCATCGCTCTTAGGTTGGAGGCCATCACCGAATCCAAAAGCAACCTTCTCCAGGACCCCATGGCCAAGACCGCCTACGAGCCCCGCGGCCGCGCGGTGCGGCGCTTTCCTGGCGCCGGCCGTACGCCGCGAGGTGGTCGGCCCGAGGTGCAGGCGCGGCGGTCGACGACTCTGGGTGTGCGGCGGAGGTCGGACCGGTTTCTTGTGATTTTTATTTGGAAGGAATCCACCAACCAGAGCACACATCTGGTCCCTCCAACCAACAGGAAAAGGCCCCTTTTTTGTGGAGTCGGACAAGACCCTCCATGCCCTGCTTTGAAGGGATTCACTCCAAAACATGGGACCACTCACTCCGTGACGACACGGTCCAAAAAAAAGAGGCAGCACCGGTGTTTCCCCAACGAACATGTCCAAAGCTTCTCCGGTGGTTCGCAGGGAATTTCCATGTAATGTTTGGTCTGAGGTAGCTTCAAGAAAAGGTTCAATAACATTGCTAACGTGGCCTGGGGCGTTCCTACGAATGCTGCCATTCTGGGTGTGCAGTGGCTCTTTTTAGAGGGATGTGTAAGTCATGAACAAGTCTCCGGATACGTTATTTTTCAAGAGAGTCGATCAAAGTGACTTTTTTTGCATTCCTTAGGGGATGCCTGGGGTGTTTCGTGAGTGAGTGGCAGCGGCAGTGACGATGCGACGACGCTCGTGCGGACTTGTTGGACGGGCTGATCCCAACGCATTGGCCAGCTGCGCAAGCATTCCTTCCAAGAATCGATCCTGTTCGGGAAGCCCGACATGACATGGAACTTTTTTTCTATAACTTCACTCTACTTCACTGTTACGCACATCAACAAACACAAAAAAAGAAGAAGCCGCCTTTTTCACTTCCAGTGCCTTCGTTCGGCCCCCCAACAAAACCTGGTCCAACAACCACCCACCCATCAAGGCTGCGGGCTTCGCGAACCCCGGCGCCGTCAGGCTCCGGCGGTGATGTCCGCGCGGGAAGTGCGCGCGATCCCCGTGGGGCCTGAGTTCATCACCAGCATCACCTTCGGAATGGAGGCCGATGGACTCCACGGGGGAGACAGATCCACCGGCACCGTGATTAGGTTACTTGGGCCGTTGAGAGATCGCTGGGGGACCCAAAGCTTCACTTTGGAGTCGAAGCATGAAGACCCCCTTTTTTTTCCGGACATTTTCCCATGTATCGAACCTCTTCGAAGCTTTGATGGTCAAAGTCGAAGCATGGAAGAATCGTGTTTCCCCACATCTCCGAATCACTGCTCGAATGGTTTTTGGGATTGTCGAGCCAAGTTGGTTCCTATAGTCCCGGACCCAGTCCCTACCCAATCGCTTCTCTTGAGGTGATTCCACTTCAAGCATGTCTCGGACTGAAGCTTCCTGAAACTTCGGCCAACTGCCCAACTGCCACCAATCTTATCCCCACACCCACCATCACACCGCCCAGGTCTCCCCGCGCGCGCGGTCGGAGTCGCTGGGCGCCACGAATGCCTCGCAAGCGACGCTGCGCCTGACGAGCTCCGTCGAGCGGGGCGCCATGGCGCGCAGCGCGCGCAGCGTGCGCAGCCGAAGCCCCAGCAACTCACAGAGCTTGTCTCCGTGGCATGGCGAGCATGGGGCGGTGGTTTGGGGAGATGAGGGGTGCTTGGATGTGGTGTGGCAATGAGATGGAATGAGATACAAACAGTGGCCCAAATTCTGTTCTCCGAGGATTCTGTTCTTTGTTCGCAGGTGGGAGTTTGGGAGGGGGTGTTAGGTGCTGTTTCTTTGGGTACATGTGGAGTCTGAAAGAAGCCGATTGAGGAGTCCACGACACCACTTCCTGCGGAAGGGTGCTGGACTGGTCTCGCAGCGGCTCGTCGCCCAGCAGAACCGACAACGTGGCTCGGCCGCGACGGGGGCTCGGCGCGACGTTCGGTGGATGGAGAGATGGAGAGATGGAGACTGGAATGATGAAGAACCGGTGGGAGGGGGGACGCCGGTGGACTGGGCAGGTCACACGAAGTTCCAGATCTAGAGGTGATTTATATCGATGAACTGATTGATCATATGTCAAGCGATCATGAACCGATCCACATATTGATCCCCCTAGTTGCGAGGTCTTGATCCATATAGCCATTCTTCTCGCACCATCTCGCACCAGGGCAGATGCGCATCCCTCTGTTTCCACGCGTTGGCCCCCTCCTTCCCCACCCACCTTCCGCGGAAAAAAAAGACGAAGAACACCCTCCAACCGCCGCGGGAAAGCCCGACCGCCGAGGCTTTGGCCGTGCCAGCCACTCCCAGGACGACGAGGACCGCAGCGCCTCGCGGCCGCCGCTGCCCTTCGCCTCGGACCTGGCGAGCCCGGCGCACCAGGCGGACCGGGCGCGACGGTGGTTGTGGTGTGGAGACCCTTTGTTGTCCTCCCACGGAAGACCCTTGATGACCCTTGATGACCGGGTGGCATGCATGTGGCAACAGGTGGTGCAGGTGCGCCGCAACTCGCTGCGCCGGCCCAGCGTGCCCGTCACCATCGACCTGGGATTGGTCGAGGCGCGGCTCGGAGCTGCCGCTCCGTCGACCGCTCCGAACAACGATGGAAGTTGGAGCGGAAGATTCAAGCCATAGACATAGACGGTTGGAGAGCTAGTAACTAGTATATAGATGATGAGAGGGAGTTCAGTTAAGAACACCATTTTGAGGACATGGAGGTGCCAAAACAGAGCGCCGCTCTGGTCAATTCTGGGAGGGGGTGTTAGATCTATTGGGGGTGGGAGCTGGTCCTCTGATTTTCCAAGGTTTTTTTCGGGGGTTGAGTCTTGGTGGAGTCGCTCGCTGGGTTCCCTAAAACATCGAACCGTTTTCGCCGTGGATCGAACGCGAAGGAAAACAGGTCGAAGACCTGGCCAATCCGACCGTTCCGTCCCAAGCAAGAGAGGTAGCCAGTGACCGTTTGTCATAGGACCCATCAGTTGGGGGGTAGAAAATGGGAATAGCGTAGGGTTGCTAGGGTTCTTCAACCTCTGTTGGTTTCCCCGACCTTTTCCCACTTTTGTTTGAAACCAAAAACCATCCCAAACAACCGTCCGTTCCAACGGTCGGGAAACAACGGGTGATGGATGCCGTGACGTTTTAAGACGGAGCTCCTCGCGCGCGGTGAAAAACCCTTTCCCAAGCACTTGGGACGACTTGACACTGCAGGGGAGATCCTCCAGACCCCTCCGGAAGCAACCGAATTCCTTCGGTCGTGCTGTGAGCCTGGAGCGTCGGAGTGGGGGAGAACTGTCTCTGGTCATCCGATGATTCTGCGGTCATCGTGGGGTCTTTTTTTCCCATTGGACAGGATGGGCAAAGCCTGAGCCTGAGCGCCTCGGCCATGGAAGGGTCGCCCCGCTTGCCTGGATGGATGGTGATGGTGATTGATCAGATCTTAGCACTTAGGGAAGGAATGCCCAATGAGACCAGCAAGTTCAACAACGATTCCTCAACGTGTGCGATGAGTCTCCACTCCATCCTTCCCAAAGTTACGGTAGGGCCATCCCAAGAGTTAACTTCGCATTCCGCTTCCCCGTCCCATGCCAGCCACACTGTTTAGTAATTGCTGACATAAATTTGAGATCCGCAAAGTGCCACGAAAGGAACGTCAGCTTTGCTATCCTCGCCAGACTAGGTCACTGGAAAGAAATGGTTGGTGAATTCATGAGAAAACAGATTCACATGCACCACATTCTAAGGCACGTTCTGATAATCGGCTCAGTTGCCCGAGGCTCCGGGTTATACTTCTGTACAGGATTCGAGACCGTTGCATTGGAAACCATGTATTTTGCGGTGTTTGTCTTTTTTTGTATTTACCATGCCGCCTCCCAACTTGCCGCTGAAGGTGACGCTGAGAGAAGCCAGCTGAGCGGTCTCAGCTTTACTGTTGGCATGTGGAACGGTGAGGCAACAAATTTATCCAACTCGTCCAGTGACAATTCGACGATGGATGACATGCAAACCACCGGACGCTTCTCGAAAGACGAGCTGCAGCATCGGCAGAGGCTTTTTGGTGCAATTATCTTGGGAAGCTGTGCAGCCGTTGGCTGCTTAGCAGTGGTCGTGGCTTTCTGTAGCAAGAGCAGCAGCAAACAAATGAGGACTGCTGCGAAAGAGTCACAAGAGCCGGCCGGACCTGCAGTGGTTACTCCCATGGGGCCAGAAGCCGCAATGAAACCAAGAAAGAAACGAGTGGTCAGAAAAAGAAGAAGACGAAAAAGAATAGAAGGGGGCCACCATACGAAAGGCTTGAGGTTTGGTCGTCCTGAGAAGATTGTATACATTGTTGATGATGACAACCAAGAAGATGAAGGGGTGAATGACGATGAACAGGATGAGGATCTTCGAGCACAATTGGAACAGACAGACCGGATTCGGAAACACAAAGGCTTTGCAAACAGGAGAAGATGTTGGATGTGTTTCCTTTTTGTGCTTTATATCATTTGCTGTCTTGGTACCCCAGTATGGTTTTTCGACACGCTGACCTGTGAAGCGGGATTCTTCTGGGAGACCCACCTGATCTTCCTCGGCATTCTTCTGGCCAGCAAATTGACAGAGATTCTGCTGAACAGGTTTGATCCTACACTATCTGGAGAAATCGACAGCGTGTTTACATTCTCCAGGAGGTTTTTCATGTCATTCTTTGGGTTTCTGGACGCGTATCAGGATGGCATCAGCATTGCCATTGCCTTTTCGTGCCCGGATGATACATCACAGACTTTGGGATGGTTCATGCTTGTTTTCTACTTGACGGGTGTGGTCGTCCTTCAGTGGGCCATCATGGCAATCTTGTGCTTCTTTGATCCTTCAAGTGCTTGTTTCGCCAAGATGATGCACATGGATACCTTTGCAGCACGCGTGACGCTGCCTACGGAACACCAGTTCACTTGGAAGCTTCTCCACTTGTCCCGAACTCTAGGCGAAGATGTCCCGCAAGCTGTGCTGCAGACCATCTACCTCTTGACAGTCACGGAGAATTACTTCATGATCATCTCAGTGTGCACAGCTGTTTGTGGCTCACTCTTGGCACTTTATGATGCATATCATCGTGCGCTAAAGGCAGCAGGCTTTCACAGCAAGACGGTCAGAGTAGTCCGCGCTGTCATACGTGGGGGGGTGCAGGGTTTAGCCTTCGAAATGGCAGATGGCCATTTAGTTGGCCGTTTACTTAACCAAGATGGGAGCATGAGGGAGTTGAGCGACTGGCCAAACGTTCAGCAGGATGAGGTGTCCCTATCGTTGAAGTTGCAATGGGATGAGTGCATTGTGGCAGTGCGGGGATACAGCTCCGACGAACCCTTTCTCTTGTGTAGCAGGTGCATCATATTTACAAACAGAGGCACGCGCAAACAGTTTCCTCCTCCTCGTGACCTCCGAGCGCTAGCTTCCGGAGAACATTTTGACTTCGACTTCTCCACCAGTGAGGAGGCAGCAATTTGGAGCTGCGAATTCGCTGGTGGAACCTGTGTCGGTATCCAGACAAGGTGAGGTGGCTTTTGAACTTGAACGGGAACGGGAACCGTTCCAGGTTGGGTTCAGTGGCATTTATATACAATGAGGGAACACTGATCGTTTTCCCAGACTCACAAAATGTGAGCCCTGCAGACCGGTGTTGGCCCCCTGAAATTTGGGCTCCAAAACAGATCCTTTCTCCAATTTCTCCTGATTATTGGTAGGTCAGTCAGAGGCAGAGGATTCTGCGGGTTGTTGATCCTGAGCTTCCTGCCCCCAGCGGGAAGAACGATTGTAACAAGCATTTGTTTTTATGTTGAACCTTTTTATTTTTGAAACCAACTATATCATATACATTGCTGCACCGCAACCGCCGCGGACGATCCGTCGTGAAGCTTCGCAAGAAAGTCAGAGCCAATTACAACATATTACAATTAGCATTGCCTAGGATGATGGCTCTTTAAAGGAACCGGATGAAAGTTCACAGGCGGTGCCAAGAAAACCGCAGAACACACATCAAATACCTAACACCTAACACCGCATCCAACGAAACCACCACACATCACCCAACGGTCACCAAACCCAACGCCGAACCTGAACCAGGACCCCTCCCACCTGCCACAGGTCACCGCTCTTCACCACTTCGGTGGGTTCCGACTCCCGCCGTTGCCACCCTCCAAAGGCCTCCAGCGCACGCCCACCACGACGCGCGACGTGGGGCCGAGCCCCCCCAGCTTCGTGGACGAGCCGCGGAGCTCGCTGGGCTCGGAGGAGACAGCGCCGCAGGAGGAGGAGGTCAAGGTCCAGGAGAGAGTGGGGTGACCGAGCTCGACGTCTGTGTCTTGTGGAGCGACGCGAGTGGGGACGGTTCAAGGAACCCAAAGAAGCTCCCCAAATTGAATTGGACATCCTTTGAAGAATCAATGACCCCGGTACTAGACCCCTCATGATCAATCTTGATCAATCAATATGGGGGGTCTAGTAATCTACATTGATTGATCAAGAGTCTACATTAGGCCGTGGAGAGTATGACGTGACCATCGTGCAGAGAGTCGGACGTGACCATCGTGCAGAGAGTCGGACGTGGACGTGCAGAGTCGCACATTTGGAGGACCACGTCGTGACACAGATTTCCAGAGGTTCTGCAAGGAAGCGATGACTTCGGACGTTCTCCACCTGAAAAACCTTCGAAGGTGGCAAACACACCGTGCTTGCCGGGGAATTGTGGCCTTCCACTCACTGTGGGTCCGTGGGAAGAGGCCAGTCAGTTCCAACTTAATCCCAATGAGTACCCGGACTGCAGATTGCCAGTTTACGGATTTCGTGTTTGTGGTCGCTGGTGACCTATAAGGATTTGAAGTCCTTTGGAGGCTTTCCAGAGGTTTCCGGATGGTTTCCGCTCAGTGTCGGTTCACGGTTTCCAGGAAGCTTCACGGTTCGCGCCCTACCGCCATGCCCCAGCAACCCAATCCAGGCCCCCGAGATGGGGCTCAATCTCCAAACCCAGAGAGGTCTTGGGCCCAATCCTTCCTGTTTGGGGTTTGCCGGGGTACCAGGTCCCAGGTCTTGGTTTGGGCTCAATCCAAACGCGAAAAGAGGACTGACGATGGTTCACGGATTACCGATTGGCAGTGCCCTTTTCCGCTCTGAGGCCCACCCCGTGTCTATTTCTCCCACGGACCCACAGTGAATGGATCGACCGGGTTGAAATCCCAGAAGTCTAGAGTCCACGAAAAGGGCCATTCTTTCACACCGAACATCGGGGGAGAAGTGACTACCGAGCAGAGGAGTGGGTGAAAGAACCCGAGAAGCGTGGGATGAACGCCTATCAATTCGAGGTCTTTTTTGCCAAGCGACTTGGTGCGAGAATTGGAGCTGGTTGGAGCTGAGGAGGGGCTGGTCGACTACACTCACTCACATACACTCATTGGAGGAGTCTAGTGGAGTAAAGAACTGATCCGGCAAATTCACCAAAAGCTTGCACCAGGACCTTCCCAGTGACCTAACTTGAGATCCCAGTGGCGGGTCGGCCACGAAACGGCCTTGAGTTCAGGTCACGTCTACCAATCCTGAAGAGGTCACGAACTGCAGGTCCTGGCATGGCTTCAGGTTGAGCCTGTTGAGCCTTGTGAAACACAACAACTTGGGCCTGCGGGATCTGAAAAATGAACAGGCCGGCTTTGCTTCAGACCCTCAGTAAGGACCTCTCAAAGCTGCGAAAGACTGGTGACATTTGATCGGATTTCGTTGGGGGAGAGGACACTAGTTTGGTGAGTTCTGCAACACGGGGTGTTCCGTGTTGCCCTTCGGTGTCATCAGACAGTTGCCCTCGGCGGAAGAAACACATGGAAAACCACCCTTGTTCAGCGCCGATCCATCCATCGTGGTGAGCTTGGCGCCGATCGGGGGTTCCCCGCGCGGGACCTGCCGCGCGGCACGGCGTTTCGGCCGCCCCCGATCGCGTGGGGGATCGGGAGGTTTTGTGGCGACGTGATCTACGAAGAATTGGAAGAGCCGCCCAAGCCGCTGTGCTTGCCCACCACCTTGTGCCAGCCCTTTGGAGGTGAGAAAGGCGTTTCTACTGCCAGTGATGGGAAGGGTTTTTCCCGCCGTTGGGAGCGGAGGAGGCGGAGGCCACGTAACAGTGGAAATGCCCCGACCCTAGACCATTCTGATATTTTGCATACCAGCAGGGTTACATCGCTGTAGAATGAAGCTAGAGTCGAAAGTCATTGAACACTTTTCAGACTGCAACCCATGGGCACCCCATGTGCCCCAAGGGGCCGTAGGTGAACTGAGACAACTAGGGATTTCATCAATGATGCACACCCTTTTGCATTACAGACTTGGAACTGCTTGACATCTTGACCTCAAGACCATGTACTCCTTCCAACAAATTTTACTCCTCTGACTCTGGTGCCCAGAGGAGTTCAACACCACCAATACGCACCTGGAACACCTCCATGTCATCTCTGGACGTGTCTCTGAAGGCTCCTCCAAGGTTCCAAACCCCGTGTCCCACGACCTGCGAACCTGCGACGGGAAGACTTCACTCATCCATCATTGGGCGAGGGGGTCAAGGCCTCTTCCCTGTCGGCGGCATCTCTTCCAGTCCCATCCGACCGGCCACCGCGGTGCTCCCACCGGGGGGACGGGAGGGCAGAGCCCTCCGCGCCGAGGCTCTGCGTGCAGGCCAACCGGCAGGATCCGCAGGTGCGCGCGCGCACGAAGCGGCCCCGCGAGACGAACTTGTATGTGACTTGGAGGGGTTTTGGCTGCGGGGGTTAAAAAGGTGGGCGGGATAGTGGGTGTGCAGCGGGGTTTTGGGCAGGGGGTTTGGCAGGGGTTTGGCAGGCGGGTTCCATTTTTTGGGGAGATTTGGGGTGGATGAGACACTGTGAAAGACCGGCTTTTTAGTCTTGGGTTTAGTGGATATGTGTGTGTTCCCTTTTCTTTCAGGGGTCTTTGACAAAAACAGTTCTATGTTGCGCATTCGTTATATGGCTGGCCATGGCTGGCTATGTTTGTGAATCGGGATCGTCCGAACAATAAGAGATATTTAAGTCTTAGTTGGGAAGATTATCCGGGGGACCTTTCTCCACTACATCATCCTCTCGCATGACCGCCCAGAGGCAAAAACTCACCTCACCCTATTTGGTCTATTCGCAGCAGGGGCAGACCTTTCCCATAGATCCCGCTTCAAGTTCACTCTTCTTCCAACAGAGGTTGAAGAACCCTATGGGCTATCCGAGTTCGGTACCCTGCTAGGGTCCTAGTTCAGTCACTTAACCTCTGTTGGTTGGCGGCCGTTTTTTTCGGGATTCACTTCAATCCTGCTTGTTGCAATAGTCGACTCTTCCCCGTTGCTCGCGCGGAGCCGGAGCCCCGGAGCCCAGGCAGTGACCGAGCTGATCATCAAGCCGGAGACGTGCAAAGAGGGTGTCAGCTACTCCGAGCTGATCAATCCTCGTGGCTTGGGTGGTGCTGTTGCTTGGGGCGGTTTGAGAAGGGCAGGGCGGAGAAGGGCGGAGAGCTTGGTCTCTTCCTCATACCGCAACGAATGTCCCTGATCTTATGTGCAAGTTGCAAGTGCCTGCCTTGACATCATTTAGATTCATATAGCATTCCTGGGTACTTTGGGGAGATGGCCAATGAGAACACTCATGCTGATGTCGTGACAGGTGAACTCTTTGCTGTCAGTTTCGGGTCATTAGATGCTTCACAGTGTTGGTGCTCCTCCTTATTGTGCCGTCCTTGCTTCTCAGGGCTCTTTAGAAAGTCTCGCTGTGCCGGTACTGTGGCTGTGGAATGATGCCGAAGAGCTGGACAAATGCTTGCAACAGACTTTATGCACGAGTCTTTCACTGAGAGAGCAAGGGGATTCGAGCACTCAGCAAGTGACAAGCGGGAGCCGCAGCAGTTTTGCATATGGAATCCAACATCACAGTGCCGGCCTAGTGCAATAAGCATGTCAGCATATCAGCATGTCGCTGAAGGGCGACCGGAAAGGCAGACCTGGACTGGTCCTTTTCTTCGGAAAGCAGCACTTTCCAGAAGTCTCAGGTGGCTTGCAGGTGGACTACTTCATCAGTCATCACTGGGCAGAAGATTTTGGGGAGTTTGTCCAGAGCGTTCTGCCCCCGGGCGGCGATTGTACGGGGAAGGGGGGGGCGAGGCTTGTGCGGGCGCTTGCAGGGCAGACACCGATTTGAGAGTTTTTACAGGCAAAAACACGATAGTCCGATAGGCGGTTGAAGCAGCAGAAGCATCTGTAGTTTTTTTTCACCTGGAAGACGGATTGGGGTCGAAAGAAAGCCACACCTTCAAGAGAACCTGCGACCCGCCCGTGGTGCCCCGAACGAGGAGACATGCCATCATCGCGGCGCCCGAACTGGGCGGCAAGTGGAAGGATGTGGTGTGTCTTGGTAGGCAAGGGCCGGTGAGGCACTGGTCGGCGGCAGGGCGGAGATGAGGCATGGCCACCTGAATTCACCGAAGCATGGTTTGGGATGTTTTGGAGGAATCTGTTCATGTTCGGTGGGAAAAGACCAGGGTGCCCACGCGTGTCACATGGCACAGCCATTGCTGGAGACCGTGTGCTGGAAACGACGTGGTTTGACTCTGCGTGTTTCCTCCCTGGTCCGTTTGGGTTTTCTTGGGATTCTTGGGCAAGTCATTGAAATTCTAGAGGCAAGGCATATGTTCATATCCAGTACATTTACTGCAATCTACTGCAATTATATAGTCCATGAAGTCGGTTTGCCTGCAGTGTTTCTTTTTTCGATTTACTTTCATTGTTGCATCGGTGACCTCATGCCTAAGGTACTGGTGTTGTGCCTTTGCCAACAATCAACATCAAATTGAACTAGGACTGAGAATAGCAGCAACATGTGTCTTCTTACCTTCCTTCGGCAGAACAGCACAGCGCCTCTGCAGAAGTCTCCACGTCTCCCGATGGCCCTAAAAAGGGGGTCTCCTCCGGCCTTTGCGTGTATGTCTTGCCCACGGCAGGAGAGACCTTGCAGAAGAGCCCCTTCTACCAAGCCTTAAACTCCAAGAACTGCAAAGGCACCGTCATGAACTTGCGCCTGGGCGGAAAGCGGAAGCGGTCGACAGGCTGGGGCGGGGCCCAGGGGCCGGCATGGAACGAGCAGGGGTTGGAGAGCTCGGCGATGGAAAGGGGAAACGCTGAAAAACCTGACGTACTCATTCCAGGGCACATGGAATAAATCAAGACACTATCTAGCCAGGGACATGCCTTGGGGATATTTGATGAGTGTGTGATATTGATTCAGTTGAGCGTCTCTCAAGGCTCTAGTTCCCCGGAAGTATAAATGCTTTTGAGGTTTTATACTTTTGGAGTGGTCCGAGTGGAACTTGAGCCTGCAATCATTTAGATGCACTTTTGTACGACATAACCACACCATTTATATATATATATATATATATATGTATAATTATATATATTTTAGAGGCGCGATGAAAGTAGTAAGCTGACGAAGTGCACTGCCTTTGTGCTGGTAGGGGCCTTGTAATTCAATTACTCAGAGTTTCTGAACAGAAATAACTCAAGGCGGCAGTATATGATGTGTGTTGTCAGCACTGATAAACTCACTCTGCAATGTGAACAGGTTTTGGCCAACAATTCTCTACCAGACAGCTCGACCAAGTTGCACAGGCACAGGAATAGTTGTGTATCCCAAAAGAGACCGTCTTTTCTTTCAGGCTTCGAGCTGAAACAGAATGACTGACTGACGCTCCGTCCGTGGGTTTTCTGCAACGCGCCTTGGGACCAAATAGGGGGGGCGTACTCAGTACTCTTCTGCCCAGCTGAGTACCTTCGCGACCTCTGCGCGTTGGACTCGCCTTACTCGTCCACTGCGCCTTGCGTCGAGGAATCAGGCGGCGACGGCCCTGGATCGGATTTGGTGCATCTACGAGGCGAGCGGGTTCGGTGATGGGGCGAGGGGAGAGGTTCGGCGGGGTGGTTCGGGTTTGGTTCTTTTTTGGGTTAGACCCCAAAGCCACTTCAATTGCACCAGTTTTGCCAGTTTTGGCATAGATGAATTGAGAACATGTATAGGGGGAAACAGTTCCTTATTTGTGAGAACATGTCCATCTTCTTTCTGGTCTACAATAGATCCCTCCTCCAAAGATAGAAACGGCGGAAGAATCGATTCACTGATTCACTCAGTTCCAGTAAAACCAATTGGATTGCTATCCCAAAACGAAGTCTGCACGAATTCCAGTGCTGTCCTGAACTGGGCAAATTATTCTTGACACTGTCCTGTCGAGTTCTGTAGTCAATGAATCTGGTCCCTGTTTCAAGAACAACCCAAGTGAGTTCTTCAAGATCTAAATGCCCATTTGCCTTCCCGCCGCGCTTTGAGCTTTCCCTTGAAAGGCGTGCGATCCTTTTGTGCAAACTCCATGTGCAGCCCCTCCACTGGGATCAGTTCCAAATCCAGATGTCTGGCCGATTCCGAACTTCGATCCACCCAACGGCCCACTTCAACGCCTTAGCGGCTTTTGAGCCGGTTGGGACCTGAAGGACGGCCGGTGGTTTCGAGCAGGGTCGGTGGGTGCTGACTCATCTGGTTGGTGCTGATCGTGTTGTGTTCCTGACTGGTGCGACGAAAGCTAAGGAATGAAGCTGGACCCATTGGGAGGTCATGCCCACATTCCGTGGCCTCGTCACACCAGTCAGGTTCATGTCGTGTGGTGGAAACCACTTGTGTCAACCTCCAGCTTCAGCGGGCCCCAGGAGTGCCCCAGGCCTCAGATCTTCATCTCGTATTTTCAGCCGCCGCGGATCTTCCGACCAAACCGCCGGAAGATCCCCGTATGTTCCGAGGTTCAGACTCACGGCACCGGCCCAACGCTGCCGGTCCTCCGCCAGGTCTACCTCACCCACAGCTTGGAGAAGCCCTTCACCTTGAACTTCCGCCTGGGGCCGCTGGTGGGAGTGGTCCAAGAGACCAAGGACCGGGGCGCCGACGGCGAGAGTACCATAGACCCTAGACTTCCAAGACTATTAAAAGAATGGTTGAACTATGTTGAACTGGTTTTTGTAGTGTAAAGTCCTTAGTTGGTTCGGGATTCAGCCTATTATTTTAATGGTGGTTGGAAGTCTAGGGTATATGGTGTGATGAGATGAATTGGATGTTTGCTCCAAGGCTGGTCAGAGGGTTCCGCCATTGTTCGTAGATTCGCACGGCATTTGCTCTTTTTCGTGCCGGAGATGTTCAGGCACGTGGCAAGCCGGGTTTTTGCAAGCACGAATACCACGTGGCTCCTCACGCGAAAACCATTTGGTCCGCAGCAATGCTGAAGACGAAAGTGATGCTTGGACCGTTGAAGCCCTGCAGCGGCAGGAGAAGGACTCCTGGGTCTTCCACATCTTCAAGATGCTGCAGCACATTGATGTTGGACAAGCCGATGCCACCAATCCCGACGATTACAACAAGAGCCTTAGCTATGAGATGGTGAGCAAGAGCTCCGGTCACCTCTTTTGGGGTACTGCCGAACTAGGACTAGGACCTCCATCGCTTTTGGATCTAAAATCACCAGCACCCTCCAACAGGTCTCTGGAGGCTTTGTAGACTTAAAAGTCGCAGGTGGTGGGTGACCTGTTGGAGGGTCCTGGTACTGATCATCTTCGTATTCTTCATCCGATCTGCTCACTCAGATCCACTCAGTACCAGATGCTCGCAGTCGGCAGAGCACTCTCAGACCGGCAGAGCCCGCGCCCGCGCGGAAGCGCCGTTCCGCCGGCGTGGGCGGTTCCGCCGGCGGTTCCGCGCCGTTCCGCGCCGAGGATCATGGGCGAGATCGAGAACTTCCGCAGCCGCGAGGGCACCGGCCCCAAGGCACTGAACCGAATCGTGAAGGCCATGCTGGGCTCCCAGGCCGGAATGATGGACATGGGAAGATGGACATGGAAGATGGTGTGTATTTGCTGTGTGGTTTTGGATGTTCTCATTTTGTGACACAGTCACATGGGTGACGGAGCTTGGTGCCTAGCAGGTCCTTAGCCTTAGCAGGCGCGCAGAGGCCGCACGCCTTCGCACTGCACGTTCCGCCCCCCACCGACCCTCCGGGTGGGTGGAACGACGCCGTTCGTTCCGCGTTCGTTCGGCGGCGGCGGGAGGCGATCTTCACCCTGGCACGGCGGGGCGATCTGCAGGCGGTGAAGCGAGCGCTGGAGCTGGATGCGGATCCCAACATCCCCGACACCCTCGGCCGCTGGGCTCACCCGTTCCTTTTTTCGGGAGGGGGAGATGCGAAGATGGTCTGGGGCGAATTGGATGTCCATTTGAAAGCAACATTGGGTGGATGAAACTGTAGAAGGCTGTGACTTGTGGAGCCAGGACCCCCCAAAGAGGTGTCTATTGATAGCCCTTAGAGGTTATATAAGGGGTGTCCATGAACCACCCCCGACAGTGGGTCCTGGAGGATGCTTGTGATTTTCGATGTTTTGGGTCGAGACAGGCCGCTGCCTGAATTTCGGTGGGGAGAGAGAGAAGGAGAGAGAGAGACCACACCAAAACCACGCAGCTAGGGCGAACATGTGGCAAGACATGTTGTTCTTTTTGATGTTCTCCTCCCACACAGAGGACGACATCTGTTGCATATCCATTTGTTTTAGAGTTTCGGGCTCTTCCCTTCCCTTCGATTCCAGTTATAGTGAATGGAGAGTGTAGATGGCACAATCCCAATGCCTTTGGTTCATATGGACCCCGCATCTCCAAAGGCTGGGATGCCAATGCTCGAACCGCCCCAGACATCTCCATGTATGGAAAACATATGCCGCCCCAGACAGACCCCCCTAGCACCACTCCTGGCCGTTGCGCGGCAGTCCCATGACAGTCGTTTGGGCTCTGAAACCACCGGAGCTTCGTGAAACGACGCGTCTTTACATCGAGAGACCCACGGCCGTCCGTGCCGAGGCATCCGGCCCTTGACCTACGCCGCGGGCAACGGCCACGAGGAGGTGTGCCACGCGCTCATCGCGGGCAGCGCGGACGTGCGCGCGCAGGTGGGCGCTCTGGAGGCGGGGAACCAGTGCCCGGAGGAGGATGGTGGAGGATGGTGGAGGATGGTGGACGAGCCCTTAGGACGTCTAAATGTTGCTTAGATTGAGTGACTATTGACTACTATATATATATATATATATATTCCTAGAACCTGAGTGACCTCTATTTTGGACCACCAACCACCCAAAAGATGGCCTTTTCCTATCAAAACAGAGGTCAAATGGGTTCTAGGTTAGTATGTGACTGCCTCTAGACAAAGGAAGTGACCCTGCTTTGGCATCGCGGTATGTGGCAGCGCAGAGCCACCACCACAGCGCTCCAAGCTGTTCACAGTCTTGCAAATTGGATCGTTTTCGGATGGTGAAAGCCACCCGCTCAAGAGCCAGTGGAAAACCCGGTTTGCGTTGGGGTTGGGGTGCCAGATGCAAAGCTACAGGGTGAGGTGGAGGATATCAGCCGATATTCACAGGGTTCCTCAGCACCAAATTCGTTGATGATGTCTCTGGGGAAAAAAGAGAGCGGACCATCCGGAAGCTGGACCAACTCTGGATCATCTCCCATGTCTCTTGCTCTCAGGACCAATTCCATTTCCCCAACCCAAAGGCCTTTGAAACCGCCCCAACACCTCCCAAAGCGCCGCCCCAAACAAGGCGCCACCCCAACCCTCCCTCCACGAAGACGCCCGGGTCACCCTGACCACGTGCCACGTGCCGCCACGAGCCGAGACCCGCCGCAGGTCTTGGGCATGTTCTCCCCCCAGCGCGGCGAGCGACGCCGCTGCATCGAACATGCCACTGGGCCGCGGAAACCATCGAGTGCTGTCGGGAGAGGTGAGGTGCTGGAACCCGGCCTCCAAGCGTGCCGGCTTCCGTGCGGATCATAAGGAATGGACCATGACGGATCCAAAGAAATACATTCCTTCTCACATTAGGGTCAGCCACCCTCATTCCCTGGCGAGTGGCACCAGTCAGCAATGGGTAAACACGATGATTTGTGTGGATTTCATGGGCATTAGCTCTGACTCATGAGCTTCCGCCTCTGAATCACAGGCATGGGTCATGGTGGGTTGCTCAGAATCTATTGGTCGTGTGGTAGTGACTTGTGAGATGTCGTGAGGGTGACCTTAATGAGAACCTCAATGAATGGACTCAATTGGTTCCACGTCTTCTAGGAATTCGATGGAATTCGTCTGGCGCAGCTCCAGTTGGCTGTTTTGCTAGCTGCACGGCTAGCTGCTAGCTGCTAGTTGAAGCGTTGACTCCTCGACTGTTTGACGTCTACACCTGATGGGAGGATCGATCTACACCTCTGCTGTGCCCTATCGACCTCTCGTGGCGGACCGAGGACCGGTTTCCGGTACCGAAGACCATGACGATGGCGGTTTACTCGGTACTCGGAACTCACATGGAAGTGAAGAACCGGACGAAAAACCCTCTGTTTGTTGAGGAACGGGCCATTCTCCAAGGGGCCATTCTCCACTTCCATGTTAGTTCCAGGGAGTGTAACCCATGATGGTTCCCGCAGGTCTAATCGAATTAGACTTCAGACTTCATGGCACTTTCCACGTCCTTTTCCACGACAAAAATCGCTCTTGTACAAATCGACAAGATCTGCAGGTGATTTGCACGCAGATGTTGACACAACGATGCCTTAAAAACAGCACCCTCATGTTCTATTTTTCCTGCTTGAGGTGCGTGTGTTGGACGAAGAGAGAACAGAAGGCCTGGCCGAAGATGGTGTTGGTGTGGGTTCCTACTGACGGTGCGGGATGCAAAAAGCTTGGCTTGGAGCCAAAACTTGCATGTCGGGAGGTCAGTTAGTGTGGACATTAAGCAAGAATTGAATACCTCATGCCTTTTCGCTTGACCGCATCCTTGTTTTGAGGGGAGGGGTCGGATTCCTGACAACAAGTGGTGTCACAGGTGCAAAGCAGGGAAACAAACCTGGTCATGATCGATTCTTTTCATTTACAACTTGTGAAGGAGACTGCACTCCGAAAAAGTATTGAAGAAGCCTTGGAAGCCATCAGTGGCCGCAAAACGGACCTCAAAAAGCCTCTGATTCTCCCATGAGAGCTCACTTCGGAACGTCACATGAGGGCAGAGTTGAGCCACACGTGCTGCCACACCCTCCGCCACACGCGCTGCTCCGCTGCGCCAGGCTTTCACAGCGCGGCCATCAGCAAGGCCCTGCTGCAGCACACCACCAGCCGCTGCCAGGAGCTAGTGATTGGCTGTGCAACCCTCCGTAGCTATCCGTAGCTGGGGTTCGGGGGTTCGAGCTACCGAAGCGGCGGGTGTGAGGGGTGTTTGCATCTGCCGGTAGATACCAGGTCTTTTCCGAGTGCCAGGTGAAAGAGGGTCGAATCATGTTGAATCATGTTCCTCCAAAAGTACCGCGCATCTATTGTGTACAGCTTCTTTTTTTCCTTCGAAACAGCAGCAGAGTCCGAGCGTCTTCTTTCCCAGCGCCTGACACCGCGACCCCCTTCGGAGTCCTTTCTCGTCGGGTCTTGGAGACCGGCTTCGCTTCCCGTCCTTTCTTCGGCTCGACGAGCGTTTTGGTCGGAGGACTTGACCTCGGCACTGGACGCCGACAACGCGGAGTTGCGCCTGGAGGTTGGGGGGGAGGTGTGTGAGGGTGTGTGGATAATAACTTCCATGCATTCGGGGCGATCTTGAAAGGTGAACGGAGAGCAACCCCCAAATTCACATTCAATTCGATGGGCATGTGCTTGGGAGGTGAGCATGTGCTAAAGAAGGGGTGGAATGATTTTTACGGAAAAACATGAACGAACCAACGCATAAAATGTATAAATACTACAAATAGAGAACACACAAAAAGACCAGCAAAATACAGAAAAGACCATTAAAGCCCATGCAGTTCTCACCGTGTTCCCCACACATTTGGTTAAAGGAAACTGGTGGCGGAACCGCCTAGTAGGCCGCCGCTTGAGCTCCAGGTGGTCCGCGAGCTGCGGCTCCTATTGCATGCTTTGGTGGATCATAGCATGAAGCTCTTGCAAGGCGGGATGGCCCTGCTTGGCGCCCTGCTGGCCAGACGTTCGGGTTGGGTGCTGACTATCTCTAGCTCGTAAGTACTGCAGGCTCTTCAATGAATTGGGACACACAGATTGTCCAAAGGTGTTCAACTCCAACACTTGGCAGCAACATGTCCATGAAACAGGAGCTTTGGGGCAAAACCGGTTCTCGCAAGAATATTTCAAGGAAGGAAGGCATGAGAAAGGAGGAGAGGGGGGAAGCAAAGACGGAAGGCTGGCACATCCGGGAGAAAGGAATGGAGGAAGATTCAGGACGGACGGGTCCACGAGAGGCTAAACTGTAAGTTTTGGTGTTGCAGGTTTGGTGTTGCAAGACCTCTGCATGACCGACAGGATTAGACAGGATCACACAGGCACATGCCTTTGGGAGTCTGGCAGACATTTTCAGACGGCGGCCCCAAGACGTTCACTAGAAGTCCAGTTTTCGAATTCCATGTTGCAGTCATTGGAATTCTCTGGAAGATTCCATGAAGTTCCCCTTGTTGGCAAGGTCACCTAGTGACCTAGTCAGACCCTTTGGTTCCAATCGCGGGACTCGCAGGGAGCGAAACACGTCACCCAACGGATCGCGGTTCCGCCCGGTTCCCGGCAGCCACCAGGGGGGCAAGCTGGTGCGGGGGAGGACGAGCGACAGGCCATCAGTAAGCACTCGCAGCGACTTGGGACGCACGTGGCGAGGGTGGTGGAGCGGTGGATGGTGGGGTGTTGCGATTGGTTTCTGGTGTTTGAATGGCTGGACACACGTTGAGTGACGCTAGGGTACATCATGATTGGAGTCAGGGAAACCGACATGGTTTCCGCAGCCATGTTGCTATGTGTTGCTTGTTGATGCTTGTTTTGTGACATTGGTGCTGGTCTTGTAGGTTTATCACCTGAGCACCATGCCCCTGTTCTTCAACTGTTAAGTTGCTTGGGGACCGTCGTTCGTTGTTTCGGGGGAATTAGCGCAGAAGAAGTGTTTTTGACCCTTGCGGACCTCTGAAGAATTGGTTGTTCAGAACTAAGAGAGGGTATAAAACACGTCTTGTCTTTTTGCGCTGTTCGTGGCAACATACGAGACCCAAAGGACTATTTCATAGGTTTGTTTGTCTCGTGAGTGGTGAGTGAACGGCCATGGTAAAAGCTTTGTAGACGTAAACCTTTGTAAATTTGTTTGTAATCAACAATTCTGTCAACTCTTTGCACAAGTTGCAAACTTTGTACAAATTCTTAAGACTTTGTGAAAGTTTTGTAAACGTTGTATAACTTTGTAAAAATATAAAACTTTGTAAACGTTCTAAAAACTTTAAAACGTTGCTCTAACTTTGAAGAATAATTTGAAGAACTCCAAAACTTCATAAAAGGTTGGTAAACCTTTTACAAAGTTTGCGAATTTTACAACGTCTTTCAAAAGTGTTACCAAGTTCTTACAAAGTTTTACAAGTTTAAAGGTTGACAAAGCTTACAAAGTTTGACAAAGTTTAAAAATGTTTTACAAAGTCTACAAAGTGTTGACAAAGTTTACCAAGTTTATAACAAGTTCACTACGCTTTTACAAAGCTTTCAAAGTTGGTACAAAGTTTATAAAGTTTTACACATTTTTATGAAGTTTGCAAATTTTTTCAACCGCTTACCAAGTTTACAAAGTTTTACAAAGTTTACAATATTTTAACACAGTTTACAAAGTTTTGAACAATTTCCAATTTTTACCCAGTTTACAAAGGTTTTACCATTTAAAAAATCAATTAAAGACGTATTGAAAGTTTTACAATGTTGCTGCAATGTTGACAAAGTTTTTACAAAGTTTACACAGTTTTGCAAAGTATTGAAAGTTTACAAAGCTTGTACACAGTTTATAAAAAAAATTACAAAGATTGCACATTTTACAATTTTTACATGGCGTTTTTACAAAGTGTACAAACATTTGCAAACTTTACACAGTATTTACATAGTTTACAAAGCTTTCACAAAATTTAAAAAGTTTACACAGTTTACACAGTTTTTGCACAGTATTGAAAGTTTACAACGATTTTACAAAGCTTTGGAATTTGACAAAGTTCTTGCAAAGTTCGGAATTTACAGAGTTTTTCAAATTTTTACAGAGTCTACAAAGTCTCACAAAGTGTTTACAACGTTTTCAAAGTTCTTACAAAGTTTACAAAGTTGTACAACGTTTTTACAAAGTTTACAACAGCTTTTTCAAGTTTACAAAGTTTTTACAAAGTTTTTACAAAGTTTTTACAAAGTTTACAAAGTTTTTACAAAGTTTACAAAGTTTTTACAAAGTTTACACAAGTTTTTCAAGTTTACAAAGTTTTTACACAGTTTACAAGGTTTTTACAAAGTTTACAAAGTTTACAAGGTTTTTTACAAAGTTTACAAAGTTTTTACAAAGTTTACAAATGGCTGGTGAAAAACACTTGTGTTTACAACAAATGACATGAAAAACACTTCTTTTTAAGCAAAAAAACGTGCAAAAACACTTCTTTCACAGAACTTTACAAAGTTTTACAAAGTTTTTACAAAGTTTACATAGTTTACACAGTTTTTACAAAGTTTACAAAGTTTTTACAAAGTTTACAACGACCTGACAAAGTTTGCGACATTTGCCTTTTGTTACACAAATTTACAAGGTTTTTACAAAGTTTACAAAGTTTTGAAGATTTTGGAAAGTTTACAAAGATTTAGCCAAGTTTACGAAGTCTTGTAAAGTTTACAGAGTTTCGACAAAGTTTACAAAGTTTTGACAACGGTTACAAAGTTTTGCTAGTTTATTTATTTGCAAAGTTTACAAAGTTTGTCTACATTTTACAAAGTTTTTACAAAGTTTGTACAGTTTCACAATTTGTACAAAGTTTTTAGGAAATTTACAAAGTGTTCAAAGTTTACAAAGTTTTCACAACGTTCACAAGGTCTTTCAACATGCTTACAATGTTTTGACAAAGTTTACGAAGTTTAAAAACGTTTTACAAAGTTTGCAAAGTGTTACGAAGTCTATAACGTCTTTTTTAAATAGAGTTTACGAAGGCCTACAACATCTAAAAGTTGTTTACAAAGTTTACAAAATGTTAGTACAAAGTGTACAAAGTTTGCAATGTTTGCAAACTTTTTGACAAAGTTCACAAAGTTTTGACAAAGTTTTCGCATTTTACAATTTTTTACACACAGTTTTCGCAGTTTTTACACAGTTTTACAAAGTGTACAAAGTTTTTACAAAGGTTTACGAAGTTTAAAGTGTTTCAGTGTTTCAAAAGTTTACAATTTTAACAACAGTTTACGAAGTTTTGACAAAGTTTGCGAAGTTTTTTCAATCTTTACACAGTTGTTGCAGAGTTTTGAAAGTTTACAAAGTTTTAGAATGTCACCAAAGTTTCTACAAAGCTTACACAGCTTTTACAAATTTACAAAGTATTTACAAAGTTTACAAAGTTCTTACAAAGTTTTCAAAGAATAAAGTTTACAAAGTTTTGACACAGATTGAAAAAATCCGACACTTTGTAGAAAGTTTGTAAGCATCAAAAACTTTTGTAAAAGCTTTGTAAAAACGTTCAAACTCAATAACTTGATAACAACTTTGTAAAATGCCAAAACTTGTTCAAAGCTTGATAAATGTCCAAAGCTTTGTTCAGATATCTAAAGGTTCAATACTTTGTAAAAACTTCGTAGAATTTAATGTACTGTAAGTTTCCAAAGCTTTGTGAAGTTTGTTATTTCTATTTTTATAAACTTTGTAGACTTTGTTAAAACTTTGTAATGCAAAAATTCGGTAAAAAATTGTAATTCCAAAACTTTGTCAATTTTTGTAAAGATCCAAAACTTTGTAAACACTTTGTAGGAAGTTTGTTTGAAGACCTGCGAAAACTGTTCAAGAAGAGCTGATCTTTGGATCAGTGAGACTGCTTGCATTTTTTTGTTAAAAGAAAAACGGCATTTGGTGCTTGCGCTTTGGGAATTTGTGACTGATGGCTGTAGTGTTTCAGGGTATTGAGGGTGAGAAGAAGGGTCGAATGGTTATTGGTTGTGGAAGTGTTTTAAGACTTGGCCACGGAAACACCAAAACACTTCTTTCATTTTTCCAAACAACATTGGTGCAAAACACTTCTTGCGAGCAAAAACACTAAACTCAAGCAACTTAACATCTTCAACAGCAGGGCTCCGGTGCTGGTGGCGAACGACCCGAAGAAAACGCATCAAAAAGGCCGAAAGACCCTCCAAGAGGTGGTTGCTGCTGGTAACGGCCCAGAAACCACCTGGTAGGAGATCTGTGTCCCGAGACAGCCGAGTGTTCTTTTGGTCGGGCGGAGAACAGGGTCGAACACCCAAGTCTTGGCGGGGATCACCCTGATCCACCGCACCGTGCATCGAAGAAACAGACACCGCCCGCGTCGCTTCGGTGGGGAGACAATGGGTGGGGGTGTCCGGTCGGCGGTGTCCGCCCGCGAACGAACCAACCACTAGGTCCTTGGCGCCGTATCTGGCCGACCCTGATGCACGGGTGCGCTTGGCCGTGGTCGAGGCAGGTGGCGGCCGGTGGCAGGTGAGAGCAAGCAGCACTCAAGCAGCTCTCCATAACCCAGGCAGTCCATGTGTGACGGTAAAAAAGCAAATATGGCAAATTTCAAGGAGTGCTTGGGCAATGAAGGGGGGGTTACCAGGCAGGGGTGCCTGTGAACCATCATGAAGCATCCATCATCCAAAAAATTCTGAGGACCAGGTCACTCCTGTTTTTGCTACACCCATTGCAATCGATGCGTTTCGCAGCTAAGCACCAGAGGCACGGCTGCCGCACCCACCACTTTCTTGTCTTTCCAGTGGTGTTTTACCCTTCGGATGGGCCTCCGATTGCATCCGGTCATTCGGTTGCCTCCGGTCATTGGCGGACATGAACGGGACCCAACGATGCGGGGAAGACCAGGATGTGGGGAACCGAACAAGGATGTGGGTAGTAGACAGCATTAGAGTGTGGCCGTGTAGACGAGTAAAGTCTTTGAGAAAGGCATCCACTGGTACTGGTAATGGGATATAAATATTCGAGACATGAACACTGGGATATGACTTGATGCTCCCAACTCTTCAGCCGGTGTCCAGATGAGGCGCTGGACGCTGCTGTAGTACTCACGCGCGTCCTTCACACCCAAACCGGCCGTGGTCACATCAGGGCCCACATCTGGAGCTCTTGGCGTTGGAACGAGCTGGCCTCCAACCTAATTAGTAGCGATGGCCCCCCAACCTAGATCGAAGCTCTTGGCCTGGCGTCTTTCCCAAGAGGAACGGAGGATCCGCGAGGGATCCCCGAGGGATCAGAGCTCCGGAGCTCCGCGACGAGGCGGTGACGAGCATCGGCAACTTCGATCTACACACCTTGAAGGTGCCAAAGAGCATCATCCAGGCACCGAGTTGATGGGTCGAATGCAGGTGGAGAGTGTGGGCAGGTGGGCAGGGGTCGATGTGTGTGCTTGAAGCTGTGTGTGTCACTTTTTTTTTTTTTGCGTGGAGAGACTTGTCTAAGGGGGATCGTGGGGGGGGGTTGTGGGGGAAGTAGATAAAGGTTTGGATTGTGCTTTGATTAGACTGCTAGAAGAGAGGATCGATGAACTGCGACAGGATCCTCAGAGTAGAAGTGTCACTTCCCAAATCAACCCGCGGCGGGAGAAAACATGAGAACCTATCAGCTATCAACACGTTTCGGCATCAGCACCAGTGCCAGTCATTCTGTATTGCAGGAGGACAACTTGCATGCCATTGTGGATGAAGACATGGGCCAAAACGTTCCTTGGCTGGAGACACATGCAATAGAGAGCTTATACTTATACTGAAGGTGAGCTGTCAAAAGGTGTCGAACATTTGGCAGGCCAAGATCCTTAGGACAAAATATCTGTGACTCCTTCCTGTGGAATTGGGCCGCACGGGATCTTCCGTGCCTCCGGACGCTTCACCTTTCTACTGGTCGGTTTCTGGGAAATGAGTGTGGCAACTTACTTGGGGCAATTTTTAATATCCATTGGTTTGAACATTGTGAATCATTGTGATATGACTTCTGCCGTAGGTGAGAATATTTGCACGAAACTCCTGCGGCCACGGGCTCGTGTAGGGTCTCTACGCGGCGCATGGCACTCTGCGCGAAGTGTCGCCGCGCCGCGCCAGCGGCTGGCGACGCTTGGTGCTTGGGGTGCTCCGGGTGGGAGGCTCTCGGGTCAGAACTCTCGTTTTCCTGGAGCCACCCCGGACTCCGTGCGGTCGCCACGGACATAGTGGTGAGCGCGGTCCGCCAAGTGCGCGCCTTACGCGTCACTCGGGTCTCTCCACCCGTGGCGCCGGCTGCACGAGGCCAGACCCGGCCTCTCACTCCGGAGCGCCCCCCTCCTACGGCTGGCGCTGGGTCCGAGCCGAAGGATCCTCGGGCTCCGCTGGTGCGATCTCCCCGGCCTGAGATCCCACCGGCTACAGAGGAGAAGGCCGACAAGGACGAGGAGAGTTCCTACGAGTCTGACGAGGACGACTCTGGTGAGGCCTCGGAGGCCACTATAATACAGGACCCAACCAGGGCTGTGAGCACAGAGGGACTGTCCGCGGAGGCGGCGCCCGCTGCTCGTCGCTCTGCAGAGCCGGCTGAGGAGGTCAAGCAGGAGAAGGTTGAGAATACCGCTGGTGAGGCTGGGTCCGTGCCCGTGCCCACCGGTGAGGAGGCGGCAACTTCTTCGAGGGGTCATAGACACCCCAAAGGTGAGCACCCAGTTCGACATCGAGGACGCGATCGTCGAGGAGACGGCTTCAAGAAGAAGAAGAGAAAGAGAGACAAGACTCACAGGGCAGGTAGAAAGCACAAGCGGCTATATCGAGCAGACGAGAACCCATTCCTCACGATCCATCGAAGTTTGGACAACTCGTATTTTGAGTTTGACTCAACAGCCCCAAGGGAGGACGCGATTCCTGGGGTCCCCCCCCGGGGAAGGAAGAAATGAGGGCAGGCGACGAAGCTGGAGTTCCTGGTCACGGAGACGACGTTTTCGGGGTCTACGATGTCCGGGATTTTTCAAGGTGGAATATGTTCGCACCTCAGCCGGGCAATGTGCTGGTAACTGCCGTGCCCTATGAGGTGGTTGGTCAGGACAATGTGGAAGGCTTTTTCTTGGTGCTGGGCTCAACCCTTGCATCAGATGCCAGTATGTTGGTACAGGTACGTGCGATTGGGGCCAGTCGAGACGATGTTGTCCCAACGCTCAGCAGTCTTTTCAATCGGCGCGCTGGTGCTCTTCACATTTGTTTGAACGAGGGACCGTGCGCGATAGAAGAGGGAGTTTTCCATGTGCGTCGACTGGAGCTATGGAATGGATCCGAGTTCCCCTCAGGTCGACTCACGGTTGCAGGTCGAAAGCTGCTCAAGCAGGTATTAGCTCCAGGAGGCACTGGAGACGAGATCGAGGACGCGCTCCTAGCCGAGGACTTAGGCGAGGTTGTCGAGCTAGAGGGCTCAGGAAAGGAGAGGGGCGTGAAGGATCCCCTGACAAAAGGCAAAGGAGGAAAACCACCTGGCGCTCGGGCTTCAAAGCGGAAGGCCCCAGGAGAGGGCCAAAAGGCAGTTTCGGGCCGTACCGCGCCTGGCATCCTCAGGGACAGGCTGGAAAAGGTCCGTCAAAAGCAGCAGAACCAGGGCCTTGGTCGACGAGTCAGGATCGCTGGAGAAGACCAGGTGTTCGAGGAGGATGGAGATGCTTCACCTGCTCCGGCCGGGTTGACTACGAGTTCGGAGATTGGCACCACTCGGGAGGCCGCTGGCGCTCGCCGAGCCGGCACCGAGATCGCGGTCAGGGAGCCAAGAGAAGGTATTATGAAGAATTTGAGGTTGAGGAGGCAGCAGAATGGAGGAGTGGTCGCCACCTTGACATCTCAAGCCGCCAAAGCACTTCAAGACAAGAAGAGGAGGCCACGAAAGAAGAAGGACAAGGCATTGGATGCCTTGAAAGTGCTACTAGGCGGCAAGAAGAGAAAGAAAAAGAAAAAGAAAGAAAAGAAGAGGAAGAGGGGCGACGATCCCGATGGCGGCGACTCCGGGGACTCTTCAGGGAGCTCAGGAGAAGACGAGAAGTCAGGAAGCTGCAGCGAGAGCGGGGACAGCTCAGAGGAGGAAAAGTCCCTTTTGCCCCCTCTCAAAAAGAAAAGCGAGAGAGCGGAGGGGTCAGTGCTGGAGCTTCTCATCACGCAGATAGAACAACGCCTCAACGAGTTAGGTGGCGCTGCAGAACACGAGAACCCGGTGTCGCACGGGCTGGCACTCCCTGACCCACTCCGGAGGTGTGAGCTCCCAGACTCGAGACGGTCGCGAGTTGTTCTTGATAGCCAATTGCATCGACCTGTTGCGCGTTGGCCGACTGGGCCGGCTGGGGGATGCCCTCGCGGCTCGCTGGCTGGCCCTCGAGCAAGCGGGGCTGGACCAGAACTGGTCCGCTGCCCGGCATCTCGAAATATTCTCACCAGACCATGCCACAGCGGCGGGACCGGCGGTGACGTTAGCGGCCAGGAAGTTTTCGAAGCTGATGGAGAAGGTCACCGACCAGGACAGCAGGTCACGAAGCAGCAAAGGAGGCAAAGGAGATGCCGGCTGGGGTCGACCCGATCGCTGGCAGGAAAAAGGAAAGCGAGGCAAAGGCAGCAAGGACGGCAAAGAAGACCGAAGGCAGAACTGGGGGGGCAGGGGCTCCCCGAAGAAAGGCCAGTGGAGCAATTGGTGGCAGAAGCCGAAGGGGCAGAAGGAGAACAGTTCCGACAAGGGAGACAAGGGAAAGGAGGAGTGATGGAGCGGCATTTGAAGCGCTCTTGGTTGGACAAAATGCTAGCCTCCGCTGGAGATCTGTCCGCGCTGGGGCTCAGCATGTATTTTGAGCTTTTCCGGAGCCCGGCGATCGATGGAGGTCGCCCTTGGCACTATTTCCGCGCTTTTGCTGCGCTGAAAAAAGTGTGTTTTAGCTCTGGCCGGCTATCACGAGTGTTGCACTCTAAACGTCAGGTTTTCCCTCTCCCTTCTTTTGTTTTCCCGATTTTGTCAAACGTCGGTGAGTTTTCTGATTTTGAGTCCTTTGTGAAGGGGGCTCAATGTCGGGCAATCCTTGCTAGGGCCTGCTGGTGTGAATTAGTAGTTCTGTTTGCTAATCATTCAGGCTGTGGTAATGCTACCCGTGCGTGTTCACGTCCTACGGCGGTGCAACGTGATTTGATGAGCTCGATCCGGGCTGCTGTTGACAGGATTTTGATGGATGACAGTCACGTGCTTTGGGGGGTTTCAGAAATCAAAGAAGATTTTCAGAAGAGAACCGTGTCCTACAGCGGAGAAGAGATTTGCAAGGCTGAAGCGTTGAGCCTAGCCAGAATTAAGCCTGGACTTCCTCCTGAAGGTCACGGAGGGTCAATTGAAGCTGTCAAGTGGGTTGGAGGCAGGACACGTGAGCTTTTGCTGAATCCCCTCGGTTGCTTGTGCCCGGATGTTGGGCAAGATCTCCCAAGGTTGCAAGGAAAGGTTCATATAGTGCGAGAAGAGGCTCTTACTGTGGCGATGGAGCTGGTGCGACGAGGCATTTGTCGTTGGACCCACTCTTCTGAGGTCGTCACCTATAGAGGCCAGAAGGTTCTGAACGGACTGTTTGGAGTACCTAAGAGCAAGTTGCTGGAGAGTGGCGAGAGCGTGCTCAGGGTTATCATGAATTTGGTCCCTATCAACTCTGTCCTACGTGTCATCCCTGGTAGAGTCGCCAAGTTACCTAACATTACCCAGTGGCTGAACGTTGTGTTGGAGGAGGGCGAAACAGTCCGACTAGCTCAGTCAGACATGACTTGTGCTTTTTACCTTCTCGGCATGCCAATTGAGTGGAGCAGACTTCTGTGCTTCAACCTTTGTTTCGACTCCTCCACGTTAGGCGTTGAGGCAAGGTCTAACTCGGAAGACAAGTGGTACTTGTCATGTGCCGTGCTCCCGATGGGTTGGAGCTCAGCTGTGGGCGTGATGCAAGAGATCGCAGAAAGTGTCTTGCTTCAAGGTGGATTGGATGACCAAGGACAAATACACAAGACCTGCCCCCTGCCCAGCTGGATGATCAACAGTACCTCTGAAGGTATGCGTCAAGGCCGTCCTTGGTGGCATGTCTACCTTGACAACTTTGCTGGGGGTGCAAAGGTAGTTGAAGAACACCCGAAAGAGCTCATTGAGTTGCAACGCTCGGCAGAGGCGCTTTGGGGCGAGGCAGGTATTGTAGTGTCAGCTGACAAGTCAGTAGTGGCCGCAGAGAGTGGAGTAGAGCTAGGTGCCTTTATAGGTGGCTCCGGTCAGTGGATTGGCGCTAGCTGTGAAAGGATGATTAAGATCATCAAGAGCACCTTGTGGCTTATCCACCAGCCCAGCATCTCCAAGAAGAAGCTGCAGATCGTGATGGGACGGTGGTGCTTCGCTTTGCAATTCCGCCGGCCGGGTATGTGCCAGTTTGATGCTGTCTGGGCCTACATCAGCTCTAAGCGCCCCCGTGCTAGGCAGATTGAGGATGTCAGGCAGGAGCTCCTTTAGGGACCCCCCTTTTCCACACCTGGCTAGGAGCCCGGATCGATGAGGTGATTACCTGCAGTGACGCGAGCCAGAAAGGAGGTGCCATTGCCATCTCGCGAAGTCTCTCAACGGAAGGAGAAGGGTTTTTGGAATCTCAGAATCTGAGGAACCTCCCTTTGGCCATCCCAGTATTGGTGATATCCCTTTTCAACGGGATAGGGGGCGCAGCAAGGTGCTATGACGTGGCAGGCGTGAAGGTGAAAGCCTATTTGGCATGCGACATACACAAACCTGCAAACCGAACCATGGCTCGGAGATGGCCGGACACGATATTCTGGGATGACGTTAAGACTTTGACCCTGGACAGGCTCCGAGAATTGTTAGAACATGTGGAGGACTTTGAAGAAGTTCATGTGTGGGCAGGATTTCCCTGTGTGGACCTCAGCAGCGTTAGGGCGAACAGATTGAATTTGGAAGGAAAGTCCAGCGGGTTGATTCGTGAGGCCGTGCTGCGGATTTTTGATGACACCAAGTCTCTTTTTCCCCAAGCTGCTTTCCACTTCTTTGTGGAAAACGTGTCTAGCATGGACTACAGTGCCAGGGATGAAATTAGTCGCATGTTAGGTGTCCTGCCCTACAAGGTGGATCCCAAGGAGCAAGTTCCGAACTCAAGACCTCGATATTGTTGGACTACAATGAGTGTGGAAAATCTGGAGGGCCTCCACATCACTGAAAAGCCTGGGTACAAGGAAGTTTGGGGTGCAGGAGAATGGCCAGCCCCCGCACAGTGGCTCACCCCGGGGTGGGAGCAAGCAGCCCCTGAGGTTATCTATCCCACATTTATGAAAGCAATCAGGCGTGAAAGGCCTCCCCCTAGGCCGGCTGGAATAGAGCGAACTGACGCTGGTACCCGGTGCCGGTGGGAGAGCGAGGCCTTTAGGTTCCCTCCTTATCAGTACAAGCCCCAGTATGTAGTTTACAACCCAGCTGGAGAAGGCAGACTCTTGAATGCCGATGAGCGTGAGCTACTCATGGGCTACGGCAGATCCCATACAATGTTCTGCATGTCTGCCTCGGAGGCGAAAGGACAACCCACGTCATTTGAAGATGAAAGGTGCAGCTTAGTGGGGGACAGTTTTTCTATTTGGTCTTTTGTCTTATTTGCTGGTGCTGCGGTTGCCAAGTACACTGGTATTTTTAAGCCGGACCTTCTATTTTCACGCATGGGTCTCCCCCCGGGCGCTGGCCTGCACTCGGCCTTGAGCTGCCCACTTCAGTTTGGCTGCCTTTTCCCTAGTTTCTCTGAGTCCCGAACGGTTAAGCAGCTGAATGATCATCTCTGTGCCCGCGTAAAGCACACCGGGTCAGACATTCGTATTACCACAGGACAAGTTATGAACCCGAGCGCTCTGCCGCGGCAATCGGTTCAAGCCAGTTGGTGGAACTGGACCGCCGTGTTTAGCACGCGCTGGAGTCAAACTGAGCATATAAACGCTCTTGAAATTCGAGCAATATACCTCACTATTCTTTGGAAAGTGATGAACAGGCAGTTGGTAAATCGGCGGATGTTTCACCTCACCGACAGCTATGTGGCCCTCTCTATACTTTCTAAGGGTAGGACAGGAAGCGCCAAGCTCAGGTATATTCTGCGGAAGATCAACTCCTTACTTTTGGTGAGCCACTCACTCCTTCACTTAGCCCACGTTGATTCCTGCGAGAATCCTACCGATGCCGCGAGCCGCGCCTGAGCTTTTACGACAAGAAAGGCGGCGACGCCGCAAGGGTTTAAGTCTTCATGACCGAGCGGTGACACTGAAAACCAGAATCAGGTATTTCGTTGCTGTTTCCGCCCTCTTGTCCGCTCTTGAAAAGACGAAGGACGATATTGATGATTTTCTCATCGCTTGGATTGACTTCCAATATACTTCCGTAGCGGATGCCCTTTCAGGACTGCACCATTATCTCCCATGGAGCCGAGGTAAAATTCGTGGAGCATGGAAACTTTATGGTGTTTGGAGAAAATTGGAAAAACCCAAACAGGCACCCCCATTTCCTGTCAATGTTGCGGAAGCATTAGTTGGGCGTTGTGTGGATCTCGAGGACCTCAGGCTGGCCCTGTGCCTCTGCCTGGGGTTTTGGGGAATGCTGAGGACTGGCGAGATCTTTGACGTCAAATTCAAACACCTCTTGCTAGGAAAAGAGAACATGGTCGTGCGGCTGGGAGACACCAAAACCGGGCTGCGCAGACAAGTCGATGAGAATGTTGTCATTGATCATGTCCCCACCATGATGATCGCTCGGACACTATTTGATATTGGAGTTTCACGTCATGAACATGTTTGGGGGGAATCAAAAGAGCAATTTCGAGAGGGCTTTCGTCAACTCCTAAAGTTCTTTCATTTGAAGGCCTCTTTCAGGCCCTACTCCCTCCGTAGGGGAGGTGCTACGGAAGATTTCCGCCTTCACGGCTTGATGGAGAGATCGCTTTTACGTGGTCGCTGGGGCTCCAGCTTTGCTGCAAGGCAATACATACAAGAAGGTTTGTCCATGCTGACTAAATTGTCCCTTCCCCCCCGTTCCCTGCCCTTGCTATCCTACTATCGTTCTCTTTTGGCCCTCCATTAATTCCGGTCCAGTACAGGGATCGTGGAAAGGTGCTTGGATAAAGGCCGAAAGCTTTCAGTTGGCTTCATTTGTTTGGCTTACTCACATGACCTGCCAATATGGTCACTGGCCCTTTT